GTTGGGTCACACCCCACTAAAAGACCAATTCACGGACATTTTCAGCTTATCTTCTCAACAAAAGGGAGAAATTGCAGTATTCTTTTCAACACAAGGGTGGAATCTCTTCCCAATAAGGGATTTTAATGATTGGGAAGTGGAAAGACTATGTATTCTGCTTCAGAGGTAAAACAACATAACTTTGGATCACAACAGAACAGACTCCATAGGTTGGAAAAGCGATCAACAGGGTCTCTTTTCAGTCAAAAGTTGTTACCACATGCTGGATTCTAGCAGCGACGGGGTATTATGTCCTTGGGAAAAGGTTTGGAGAAGCAAGGCTCCTTTAAAGGTTGCTTGTTTCTCTTGGATTGTTGCTTGGGAGGCTTGTCTTACACAATCAAACCTCCAAAAGAGGGGGTTTCAACTGTGCAGTAGATGTCCACTGTGTGAAGAGCATCCGGAAGAAGTTGGCCATCTCTTCTTGCATTGTAGGGTCACTAGGCAGCTGTGGAATATGTTTCTGGCAATGTTGGGCATGAGTTGGGCCATGCCAAAATCAATTGTTGAGCTCTTGCAAGGTTGGAGCAGAGAGGGGATTAGTAAGAAATCTCTAAGAACTTGGAATACCATACCTCAAGCCATGTGGTGGACTATCTGGCTTGAAAGAAACAATAGAATTTTTGAAGGCACATCGAGCAATATTCACATCCTTAAACAGAGATGTATTTTTTTGTTAGCTTTTTGGTGCAATCTGGTAATTGAACATGAAGTAGATGGAATGCTAGATACAATAGAGGGTTTGCCCAACCTGTAATTATGCCTGATGCACTGGCTTAGTGCATAAATTTATAATATCTTTAATTACTTATCAAAAAAAAATGATGAAAAGGTTTTTCTTGTTTTCTTCAGATAATTCTGTTTAATAAAGAATATTTGGATAATTACTTAACTTCAATAGATAAATCAAATGAGACTACAGCCAAGCCCTATAGGAAATAGTGAGTTGGCAAACATATAAGCTCCCTCTACTCCTGCCCCAAAAAAACAAAAACAAATAAAGAGAAGGTATACACATTAAACATACAGACATACACTGACTTCCTTCTCAAAGGAGATCAAAATAAAATCAGGTGGAATTTCTCGGGAATTAACCAACTAAGAAACAAAAGCCCACCAAAATAAAGCATGAATAAAACAAGAAACAACAACATTGGGAGAATGTACAAGATAGGAGTGACGGAAAAGAGAGCTACAATGCAATGGTTCTTCAGATGGCAATTAAGGAGAGAAATTGGTGCAGAAAGATATCGGGTATATATCCAATAAATCAGCACGGCGAGTATCAAGATAATAATCACCAAGTTAACCTTAATTTTAAGTGGCAAGGGTGGGGAGGAAGAGATTAAGCAAATAGTAAACGATAACTAGAAGAAAATATTGGTCACTGCACCACTTACTTCTCTTCCTAAACATCTTTGCTTGTCGATTAATTCTTTTGGGGTGTATCTTTCTCCAAGAGGGATGTTCTTGTCGAATGATTCACTTAAGGGCACTTTTGATGGGATAATAAAACCTATATTATCACCATATGGAGGGCAATATAACCAACCTGTAAAAAGACACTCTTGTCAGGATAACGTTAAAGAGAGGCTTATGTGAATGGAAAATATGTTTCTCTTTTAAAAGTAAAAACTTAGTAAATGCAACAATTCGTGGAACAAAACAAGATGAGAGCTTATGAACATCAGGACATCCAGCTTATCACGCAATAACAAAATCTTGGACATGCATGCTTGTGGAAACAATCAGATGACTGAAGATGAAATTGAAGAACCTAGTACACCCCTTCAGGTCTTAAGACCAAAACAGCTGAAATAAAATGACAATGGAAGGAAAAGGGGACAAAATTATCAGATAGGTGTTTAATGTTTACACGCTAACAGTGGAACTATCTTCTGAATTATCATGTTAGTTACAACTATGTATACCGTAAAACCTAGAAAGAAGGTAAATAACCTACTATAATCAGTTAAATAATACTAATAAAAAAAATTACATGTTACCACATTAATAACAACAGCTAAGCCTTAGTCCCAAACAAATTGGGGTTGGCTACATAAATTCTCCCTTCTCCATTTAAGCTCAACTCATGTCATCACCGTACCAAATAAAATAAAAGTGAATACGATAGATAGATAGATATAAATATTAGTAATAATAACAATAATAATAGAAGTTCTTTAACAAGACTAAAACCTATTGCCAACTAGTAGATATCATTTATATGAATCGTATTCTTTCATTGTGCCATATCTTTAGCTAAGTCCATATTGATTCCAAGTATTTGTAGGTCTTTCAAGACAATTTCCTACCATGTAATTTTAGGTCTATCTGCCCTCCTTTTAACCTTCATTCATCACAGTTTCACATCTACTAATCGGTACATTTGCAGGTTGATGAAGGATATGACCAAACCTTCTCAAGCGACCTCTCATTTTGTCTTCAATGCATGCTTTGCATCTTCTGGTGGATGTGGTCATTTATAATTCTATCTAATCTTGTATAACTGTACATCCATCTTAGCATCTGCATCTCTGCACACTCATCTTGTGGATATATTGGACTTTAGTGACCCAACATTCACTACCATATAACATTGTCGGTCTTAGAGTATTCTTTAGAACTTATCTTTCACTTTGCTAGGCATCCTTCTATCACATAACACCCTGATAGCACTTCTCCAATTCAACCATCTGGTTTTAATACTATGAGTAACATCTCACCTATCATTCAATTCTCTTGAAACAACAAGCCTAGATATCTAAATTATTTGGATTTTTGCAATCCCTTTAAGTCTCACCTCAATTATTATCATGGCAGTGTAATCAAAGGCTCATTTAAGACGCGCTTAAACTCGAAGCTCAAAAAAGCTAGGGGAGGGCGCTTCACCTCACTTAAGTTGCGGTTTAGTGTAGGGCTGTAGGCAAGGCACTAAGGCGTGCGCACTCATTATCTATGTGTGCTATCTTGAATTGAGTGGTACTAAACAACCAATATAATCGGCAAAAATGTGCATTACTTGTTAAGGAAAACATTATAAATGAATTTGTTATTATTTTTCTTAAATTACATATGTATTTTTATCTTTTTACTTCATTGCGCCTTTATATACTAAAGCCCACACTTAACATGAGCTTTGCGCTTAAAGCCCGATAGACCTGGAGTTTTTTTCCAGAGCTTTTCGCCTTTGACAATATTGTATCATGCTGACTAAACTTGTTGTGCATGTATTTAGTCCTACATCTACTTATACCAAAACCTTTACTCTCTAAAGTGCTTCTTCATAGTTCAAGCTTTTGGTTGACACCGCTGCTAATTTCGTCAATTAGCACAATATCGTCAGCAAATAATATACACCATCAACCTCGTTTTGTGTTATGTTGGTTAATTCATCCATATCTAGGGCAATCAAAGTAGAAGCCCAATGCTAATCCCTGGTTTAGATCTATTGTTATAGGAAACTCCTCTGTATCCCCTGCTATTGTTCTCATGCTAGTGACAGCTCCTTCATACATGTCCTTTATGGCATATGCATTTAATATGAATTACTTTCTTCTCCATCACCCATCATAGGACATTGGTACTCTATCATATGCTTTCTCTAGGTCAATGAATACCCCGTGTATATCTTTCTTCCTTTCATGAAAAAATTTCATCAATCTTCTTAGCAAGAATATAGCCTCTGTTGTAGATCTATCAAGCATAAAAAAAGTTACATGTTAATTAAAAAGAAAAACCTATACTTTAAAACTTTTTTATGTTAATAGAAAAAACCTATACTGTCAAAAACTTTCAGAGGTACATAGCTAACTACCAGTAACAGTTAACTTAGAGTAGCAAATTTTAAGTTGAGGGTTAACACGCAAACTAAATGTGATCAGAATAAACTGAACGGATATGTCTTCAGAACTTGACCCAAAAGCAGAGAACATAAGCATCGGGAGTTCATCCGAATTGAGCATCTTAATTTATCAGTTATAGCAAAGTAGAGCTTAAGTTTTTGACCTTGTTGCACTGGACATATATAAAACGACAATTTCAATATCTAATTATGCTCGTCCAGTGTGGCACTTAAGTAAATTCACTTTCTTTTCTAGTTATATACACTAATACACTATTTCCAGTAGTGTTTAAGTAACCTAATCGTAATAATTAAACCTGGTAATTAGTCAACGGAATGAGGGTTCACTGAGTGCTTAAAATAGTAAGGAACACAAAATTGACAAAATTTTCCGAAGGTAAACGTGAGCTGAACGTAAATCTAAGATGTAAATTTAGTACCGTAAAGTGAAGTTAAGAACAAATACCTGAGGGTAGGCTGTAACGGTCGAAAAACTTGCGAGGTTTATTATAGCGAGATCGCCAATTATTATGCGCGGAAGAGGAAGAGGCGTGCATTGAATATTCGCCATATTGCTTCCTTTTCTTCAATTGTTCTCCTTCTACTACTTCCATCAACGCCTTTCACGGAGCATATGCCAAAGTCTCCGGCTATGCGCCGCCGTCAAGGACAACTGCAGACTTTGCTGGTTTTTGTTGCAAAGGAGGGAGGGAAAGGGAAATAAAATAGTCTGCAGGAGAAAAGGCGTTGAATTTGTATTGGGAGTAATTTATTACCTCTTGGTTTACTGTCCTTTTTTCCTTTATGTCGAGTCTTATAATTGTAAAATAATATTAATATTAATATTTAGCTTTGAATAAGTAATTATACATGAAAGAATAAAGTAAATTATATAAATAATTAATATGGATCGTTATAAGATAATTTATTTGTCTAGGTCAAAACAATTGGATCTTGTTTGAATCTATGAAGATGAATAATTAGGGGTCGCGAAAATTAAATAATGACGGATTAGTTAGTGGATATATTTTTATTGGTGTATATTTGGTTTATTGGACTAGTAAAAAAATATACAGTGTATCATACAAAACATGTGTTTGGTGTATACAAAATAAGTTGGAATAAGGTTTATTTTAAATTTTAACCTTGGATTTTATAAAGGACTTTGGGGTAAGAGCATTGAAGAATGACATATTTGTCATTTTAGTAATTTATCCAAAATGAGTAATTTCGGGATTGCTATCCTATCCTCAATGTGAAATAGAATAATTAATTGTAGTATTAATTAATTCAAGAATTGCTAATTTTAGATTCGAAGATTGAACTAAACACAGAATAAATAATCTCGCATCTAATTCAAAAATTATTATCCCTTATTTTACCAACTAAAGGATCCTATAAAGTTTAAATCTGGGAAGAAAGAGATATTTTTTTAATAGTATTATTTTCTACTTGGTCACTCATATAATATGTAGTTGTATATAATCAATTAAGTTGGTATAATCTTTTCTCTCTCGGTTAAAATTCACTTTTTGGATTATAGTTATGTGTTGTTATGTATTACTAATATATAGAAGCCGCTTGGGAAGCAGCTGGGGGTCGTCATGCCTGCTTACCAAAGGGCACTTTGATCATTTCAAATTAATTTTTAATTTATCTTACACAGGAGTAAGTTATACTTTATGTTGCACATGTTGTACTTTGGAGAGAGTTCCCCAAATTCCATAAAAGTCCAACACGGTGAATCTAAATCATTCGTTTTTCTTCTTTCTTGGCTGTAATACTACTACAATTCCTATAATATGTAATATCTTTTGGAGTTGTCTTTGATTTAAATTATTATTTTCGTGTATTCCATGTACACCCACCTTTTCTTGCTGTGGAGTAACCCCTTCACCGGGTATCAAAGTTGATGCTTGTGATTCCTAAAGATTCTTTGTTTCTTCGAATTTGAATTCTATGAGTTTGTATTTCTTCTTCTTAAAATTTTCTCTGTTTCTCATTTTGGGTCTCTCTTTATTTGTTCTTTTGCTCTACTTCTAAGATTTGATCATTGCATTTGGAGGTAATTACTTCTCTTCTTCTTCGTGCGTTGCTTCTAGGTTTAATAAGTCTAAGGAATCACTAATTATTTGCTAGATTTCAATTTTTTTCTTAGGCAGCTTTGCTTTCAGTTTGCTTACTAGGTATTTGTGAAATTGCCTTCTGAAAATTTTAGTTTTGCACACAAAGAGGGTAAGATGCGAATCAAGGTATTAAGGGATGAAAAGACTACTAGCTTCCATGATGATGAAACCATAGTGATTTGCGCTGATTGTTGGTGGAAGACAGACTTAAAAGAGAGCTCAAGAATATACCTTCTTTTTGCTTAAAAGAATGTTGATATTTGAATAAAACTACTCTTCAAAATATGTACTTTCCAGTAGCATCAAAGAAAGGAGGAGGGGTACGTGAAATCTCATTGCTATTCTTTTCTAAGGATTAGCGTTCATAGGAAGCACGATACTTAGATGCACTTACCACAAAAATGAAAAAGGGACATTGACCACCGTAGAAAAGCTATTTGTGAAAAACTCCTCTGATTGAATCCTAATATAATTTGTCTATAAGTAACTACAATTGCCTCTTACTTATTGGTATGTTTAAATATGTTCATACTTTAGATATGAAACTGATTGAAGAATTTTATTGATGTGATTGAATAGGAGATGGATTAGTATTATGATCTACTAAACATTTTGAAGAAAGTTGGATATCTCCAAGGTGCACAGACAGAAATGTTGCTTGGTAGTCTCAAACTTGCAACAGTCACTCTCAAGCTACAAAAGATAATAAGAAGGTTGCTTTCTAAGTTAGTCAGGATGATTTGGTTATCGAGAATGATGGATGATGGAGACTATGAGAATGGTTTATGTTTGGAAACTTCGCAGAATTATCTTCTTGGACTAACTTTTATGTACAGGATTTTAATGGCAAGGGCCAAGGGGTGATCAAATCTGTTTGCTTGTTTTACTCAAGGAATTACTAAGTATAAGACTGCACCAAAATGGCAGAAACGATATGAAGCAGTTACTGTCACACCTCCTTTTTCCGGCACCGCGAGGTGGGTAGGGAGTTTTTTCCAATTAAAGGACAGNAATCATTTGTGTCACTACAAAATGATATTTAAAGGTTTATGCCAAAGCTTTGCATATTATTATTGAATTTAATGTTTGATTTTGCACTCAAGACTGCTCCTCTCTTGGATATGTGCAGTTTGATCAGAAATTTAATTGCTAAAATTGATCTTTCTACAAATAGATTGCTAAGCATACACACACACAAAAAAAAAAATTGTGATATTTTCAATATTATCTTCTAGTTAGAAAACTTTAAATGGCACAATGATTTTTGTTTTTGTTTTTTTAATGTTATTTCTTAATTTCAATGTAATCATCCTTCCTTTTTTCTAATTTTCATGCTTTGTTTTCCTCTTGCATCTTTAATTTCTTCTTTTTCTTGAAACAGGAATAAAAAATAGCTAGATCATCAAAGATTAAGGATTAGTATAAGGATTCCAACGTTGTCTTAACTCGTGAAAAAATAATTAAATGCGATGTCCCGCGATGAAGAATTGGATTCCAATCATGAAAAATAAATATGTCCGTACATAAAATGTACAAGTCTGCTGACATACAAAATATGAAATGTGCTTTGTAACACCTGGCATATGAAATGTGCTTTGTAACCAAAACTTGCGGAAGATAACCAAAATTTGCGGAAGTAAAATAATTTAAAAGTAGAAATAAGGCAATAACAGTGTTAAATGTGTCGCTCGACATACACCATATTTATATAGATCTCAAAACCAATATCTAAATCCAAGACCCGGAAACCCACGAATCACAAGCTAAGAAAAGGAAATACTATATAGCTCCAACTCCGGAATTTGTCTAATAAGAACAGGAAGTACATAAGGGCTAAATACTAAAAGCAGGAATAGAAAGGGACTTCTCGGTCTGCGGACGCGGTAGATGTACCTTGAAGTCTCTAGAGCAGTCGCCTCCCTCAAGGATAGTAGGCTTGATCAGTGGTACATGGGTCTGCACATGAAAAACATGCGTAGAAGGGGCATGAGTACACCACAGCGGTACTCAGTAAGTACCAAGCCTAACCTCGGATGGGTAGTGACGAGGAAAGTCAGGGCCCTACTGAGGTTAAATAAATATAAAGGTCAACAGTATAGGACAGAACAGTATAAATAAGTACGCCAATAAAATAACACAGGATATACAGAACAACAACAATTATACAGAACACGGTAAATATGGAAAAGAAATACAGTTCAGCATCAATAGTAACAATCGGGGATCTCCCAGGATACCGTCCTGTAATCCCATCTTTACATATCCAGCGAATCTCCCGGGATACCGTCCCGTAGTCCATTATATATATGTCCGAAGGATCTCCTGGGATCCCGTCCCGTAATCCAACTCATAGTGCGCAGGGATCTACCAGAATCCCGTTCCGTAGTCCGAAATGTAAATACCTAGTACTGGGGGGATCTATCGGGTGCATTCCCGTAGTTCCATATAACTGTGCAGAGGTATCTACTGGAAACCTAACCCGTAGTCCCAAAGTAAATGTGCAGGAAGATCTACCGGGAATCTAACCCGTAGTCCCAAAGTAAACAGACAAGGGGGAGCTACCGGAATTCCACATCCGTAGTCCCGAAATAAATACACAGCAGCAGTAGGAAGATAAAGAGAAATAGCAAAATTCATATTAAGGCAATAAGTGATTCTAGCCTAGCATGCTGCAAAGAATTCAAGTAAGGCGGTTAAATCAAATGAAGCAATTAAGTCAATTAGACATGCTTTCATAAGCTAACAGTAGGCTTAATAGTGCAAGTAATAGAAACAGGAAAGGAACATACTAGTAAGTACTTAAAGAAAATTGGATTTCCAACAATTAGCAAGAGTACGCACTCGTCACCTCACGTACAAGTCATTTTCAATTACCAAATATACCAATCCTAAAGGGAAAGTCCCTCACACAAGGTTAGACAAGCCACTTACCTTGAACTGGCTCAAAGTCAACCCGAAACCACGCTCTTGCCACGAGTACTCGACTCCAAATGGCCCAAATCTATTCAATTCAATCACATAAGGTAAATAACACTTCAAGTACTAATTCTACAATTAAAGTCTAAGCTAATGTGCGAAATTATGTAAAAAAATAACCAAAACGCCCCTCGGACCCACATCTCGAAATCGGGTGAAATTTACATTTTCAGAAACCTCGTACTCTCACGAGTCTATACATAACAAGAACACTGAAATCGGAGTCTAAATAACCCCTCAAATCCTCATTTAAAGGCCTCTTAAACTCAAGCTCTAATTACCCATTTTTCCCAAATTTCTCACCACTAATTAGGTCTTTAATCACATAAAAACGAGTTATGAAGTCAAGGATGTTACCTCCAAGTGATTCCCCTTTGTTTTCCTCAAAAATCTCTCTCAAAAGCTTCAAACCCGGATGAAAATGGTGAAAGAATGGCTCAATTTCGCAAAGGCAACTATTTATATGTTCTGCCCAGCGATTCCCGCGTTTGCGGCTCTGGGTCCGCATCTGCGGTCCCGCTTCTGCGGAAATTATGTCTCATCTGCGACATTCACTTAAAACCCAATTTTCGCATATGCGGAGCATTTACCGCAGGAGCGGTTCCGTTTCTACGAGACATTCACCGCATTTGCGGTTCTTGAGGACTTG